CCCCTTCCTCCTCCCTCCTCCAACACTCCTCCTCCACTCCTCTCCTCTCTTTCTCCGGTCCTCCTCCTCCAGTCACCTTCTTCCCCTCCTCCTCCTCTCTCCTCCTCTCTGCCCCCTACTCCTCTCCATGAACCGTTCTTCTTCGAATCTCCATCTCAGGGCAGTTACGTTTTATTTAAACACAGGTACATATATGCTGAGAAGATACAGGTCTGCGCTACACTCGTGGTATACACATATACGTACCTCGGCGTACATATTCTGTAGTACCTGATACGACAACGACCTTCAGCATAAGCGAACTAGTAACTATTTTGCCTAGTTAGTAGTTACCGGTTCCCAATTCAATGTTGCATTTCGAACTGGGAACTGGTAACTGCTTTGCCTAGTTACTATTCCTTATTCTGAATAAGAACTGGGAACTGGGAACTGCTTTGCCTAGTTACTAGTTCCTTATTGCGAATAAGGAACTGGGAACTGGTAACTGCTTTGCCTAGTTACTAGTTCATTATTTCGGAATAAGGAATAACGGGAAAACTTGGGAACATGCTTTGTCCTAGTTTACTAGTCTAGTTCCTTATTTGAATAAGGTACTGGTAACTGCTTTGCCTAGTTACTAGTTCCTTATTTGAATAAGGTACTGGTAACTGCTTTGCCTAGTTACTAGTTCCTTATTCGAATAAGGAACTGGGAACTGGGAACTGGTAACTGCTTTGCCTAGTTACTAGTTCCTTATTCGAATAAGGAACTGGGAACTGGGAACTGGGAGCTAACGTCACTGACCCAATAAATGATCCAATCTATTTGCATTAGGTCAAGAGCTCATAATAGAGAGCTCTCTATTATGAGCTCTTGATTAGGTTAATCACCTGTCACCTGTGCAATTTTGAAATGCCCACTCGATTACTATTTGACTATTATACTTGTTTGTGTGTGTGCGTGCGTGTGCATTTTGATATATGTTCCAAAATCCTGTTTAATGAGTCGCTGGTATTGTTGAGAAATAATATTATATTTTAGCTATACTGACTAGAATATATTATGTAGATCATTATAGTTCATTATAAGTCATTGAATAAACCTGTGTGAGGACTGTACAAAGTTTACCTGCACTGGCCGTGTCATCAACCTTCAAGCCTAATAACACCCTTGGAAATTCTATAGGTTAAACTCGAGAAGGAGCATGCACAACTTCACAAAAAATTCAGCAGAATTGTTACTGAGAATGAAACCAGGAAAGCACAGTGTTTGGATTTGGAGGAGATAAATAATGATTTGAAGGTATAGCACACATATAAAAGTTGTCCGAATTAGCCTAATTTAGTTACAATTACAAGATATGTTGCGAATAAGTTGCTACAAGAGATGTTACATGAACTAAACTGTAATGCATGATATATCTTGTAATGCTGGAACTTTGACAGAATAAATAAATTAATTAAAAAAAATATATGTGTGTGCGTGTGTGCGTGCGTGTGTGTACACTGTTTTACAATATTGTGCAGCAACAAACTATCAAGATAGCAGGAGATCTAGAACACGCTGCTGAAGAAGAAGAACGCCTAATGACGGAAGTGGGAAACTTGAAAACTCAGCTGGAAGCAGAGATGTACCATTTAACATTAAGATTTGTACTATTTTGTTTTGCATCACTGAAATGCTCAGTGTGTAAGTATGTGTGCATGAATACAATTAAAGGGATACATGACCCTATAGGTTCCTTGCATATTTTCAGTTGAAATATGTTTAAAGTACACTACATAACAATTTCATAGTTCAATATTCATTAAAAATCTTTTCTTTAAATGTTCCAAACTAATGGATGTATCGTTGCTCACGAATATCGAATGCTCACAACGACGTTGGCACCAACACTAGCCCATCTACTTTCAAAGTTGCGTACCACAACTTTTCGGCAGCGGGCTACAGACTGAGGGTGTTTATTATTTATTAATTTAAGAGAATGATTGTCGCGGGGTGTCATATGTCAGTGGCCAAAAATAAAGATTTCTAAATTCACTGTTGTTTTATGACAAATGTGAATGCATTATTATGGAAATTTGTAGGTAGGCTTATATACTATTATTTATGCACTTAATTACTATCATTATTTACCCTAAAATTCTAGGGCGTAGTATCCCTTTAAATGCATACATGTATATAGTTTTTCCAGTGTATGGGCATGTGCATGAAAGTATGTATTTTGTCTGTTGGAGTATAGATGCAAGTGTGTGTGCGTGCGTGCGTGCGTGCGTGCATGCGTGCATGTGTGCACATAATAATTATGTACATATTGGATAAAGTCATCAGAATGGGCAAGCATTGGTTGTTACGAACGAGGTAACAATGCATTTATTGCCACTCAGGTCAGAGAAGGATAAACTTGCAGTTAAGATTCAGGACAAAGATAAGGAGTTGGACATTTTAGGACAACAGAGCAATGAAACCGTGAGAAAACATTTAATAATTGGCACTGGTTGATGATATTTCCATGAATATAATCAATTTAATTCAGTTTGTAGCTGCTATGTGAAAATAGCTTCTTCCATTTATTTTTCACAAGCTAAACTGAGATTCATTTTGCTAATGCCGACAAAGTCTGCATGATGATTTATTTACTCTCTCCCTCTTCCCCCGCTTTCTAATCATTCAGCATGCTTTGCGATATTTTGGTTACAGGTTATCTGAAGTGAAAACGGCTTACAGAAATTCCCAGCAAGCTGTTGAGGAACTGAAGTCTATCAAAGGTTTGTTTTTCAATCATTCATTCATGAATGTGTGTCAAATTTTTGTAATGGTTTATGGACAACACCTAATTCATGTATGTGTCGAAAACTTTTCCTACAGTTCGAAATTGAAAATCATTCATAAAAAATTTAATCCTATTACAAGGAGCATGGAGGAAACAAGTCCTCTATAAGCATGTTTCTGAACGAAGTTTCCAAAATTAGCAATTGAAATACACTGACTGCTGTAGTTGTTCACTTACAAGATTCACATACTCTATAAACCTCTACCATAAAGGATTTGTCAGATTAGGTGATGCTTGTCTCCCGATAATTTTTGTCTGCATCTCTAGCTGCTGTGTCGAAACATTCTTTGCAAAAATTTGCTACAATTTACTCAAATCACAATGCTCCAACTCTGACCACCAGAATATGTGGTTCACTACCCCATTCTGGGACAGGGCATTTTTGTGAAATGTGCAACAATACGATTGGTTCATTCAGTTTGAAGACTGAAAATAGACCTGCCAGATTAGGTCTGTCACAGGGATCGATATTATATACCTATAGTACTATAGTATCAAGAAAGCCACTTCTTGAGGCAAGAATCTCCATCCCAGTAATAAGCCAAAACTCATCTGTCAGTCCAGGAGATTTTTGTCACAAAGGCATAAATCATGTTGTGCGAGGCAAAAACCACCTAGTCTGAAAAAGGCAAGAAAGACAACCATATATATGTTACCGATGCAGGGTTGTTCATTTATTACTGAATTTGCCGAGGCAATTCTGATCTTAGTTTACAAATGCATGCATTGGTTCATTTATGTTTAACCTTGCATATAGCAACTATCTACAGTAAATATAGCAGCAGATATAAGTTACTAAAACAGCTCTGGAGCTGACATTAAGTATACCAATTATGTCCGTGCAACAGATGACCTCCTAATCGAAAAAGGGGATATAACGAAAAGGTTGGAGAATACTGAGCTAGCCATGGTATGTATGTTGATATAATCAGTACAATTATGCTTTTAGATATGCCTACAATATACTCTATTCAATGAAGCTCAGGGAAGTTAGCTCCCAGTTCCCAGTTCCTTATTCGAATAAGGAACTAGTAACTAGGCAAAGCTTAGTTAGTTCACCTCTTAGTCAATTGAGATCTGGAAATTTGAGTGATTTTTTATCAAAGTTATTTTGTGTCACTATGTAATCACTATTGAGTCAATAAGAAAGATACCGTAACATAATCAGGGTATCCTGATCCATTAATGTTCCCTATGATTGTGGGTGTATGCACAAGTTTACTGTAATAAAATTTAGTTCTCGTTTGATAAATCTCTGAAATAATTATTGATTTTCCCCACTATTTTCAGGCAGAAAAACATCATTTTGCCTAATTTAAATCAATGCTGAAAGTGCCACAGATGGCTCCAGAATGCACCACAGAGCATCTAAGTTTTAAAATTTTCTTGGGGGAGGACCCCCAAACCCCCCCCCCTCAATGGGAGGGGGATACCACCTCCCATGCCCACCCCCACAAACGCCTGCGGCGTTTGTCAAAACCAGGAATTTAGAAATCATTACTCTTTGGCTTCATTGAATGTTGGCATGTCTGGATATAATTTCATTCTAAGAAAGCTAGCTATGGGTAATTAATATTCAATGTGTAATTCACAGATATGTGGAGTGAGAGGCTCAAAACATCAGACAAATTACTAGATGAAGCAAGCAACAACTTAAACATAACTTCTAAGGAACTTGATGAAATGAAGGTACTTCCCCCAGATGATCAGTTATTTAAACTTATTTCTAGATGTAATGTAAACACTGGTGATAATCATTAGTCTTAAAAACTGCATTCATGCAGCAAAATGAAAATGTATGCAGTACACAAACGTTTACAAACTTGATTTTTTTAAACAATTTAATCTTTAGAATTTAATTTATGCACCATTTATGTCACATGTGTATATGAATATTGTATAGTATCATCAGGTATATAGCGTATACACATTTCTTCTTTGATTGACATGTCCGTAGTGTGTTGTATTCATATCTTAAAAGCTGAATTCATATGAACTTTAAGATTTCCAAGGAGGAAACGGAGCTGAAACTTACTGACGAAAGAAAATGCAATGTTCAGTTCACCAAAGCTAACCAGGAGCTAGAGGAACAACTTGAACTTGCAGAGAAACGTATAGAGCAGCTGTTAGCAGAATTGAGTCAAACAGAGACTAAACTGGAAGAGGAGAGCAGCAGGTATACACATGGGACATCTATTTACGTCAGCCATTGGGAATATAATTGCATTAATATCCAGCCATACATATACATAGCACGAGGCCAGTTAGCTTCAAGAAACAATCATACAAGAGTGATATATTGTGTGTGTGTGTGTGTGCGTGCGTGCGTGCATGCGTGTGTGTGACATACTGAGTTTGTTTCGATTACTCCCACAGCCTGGTTGGGCTAGGGGCTATAATCTCGCTTCGCACTTTAGGTCATAATGGTGTGTTAGGGTTAAGGGAAGAAAATAAACGGTAAAAAAAGCAATTTTGTAAAAAAAAAACAGTTGAAATTAAGGACCTGACTGACTTGACCTCAAAGATTAAACTTCTACTTAGTTAAAAATTCACAATGAATTGTAGTTTGTGACAGACAGCAAGTGACTGGGACCAGATATCTCTATATATATATATACAGGTACAACACCGAAGCAACGTGGCGACGCAGTTATGTGGATATGTGGCGACGCGGCGACGCGGTTATACACAGCTATGTGGCGACGCAGCTACTTGGCGATGCGGTTACGCGGTCAACTAATATGGGGGCACAGGAATTTCAAATGAATTTTATCCAGATTAAAAGAGGTTCCGGACCATCAGTGTCTGGAAAACTCGATGTTGTCCTGGTATATATATATATA